TACTTTTTTTAATTACAATTTCATAACTGTATCGTTTAACAACATTTTATTTGTTTTACTTTATTTGTAAAAAATCATTTTTCTATTTCATTTGCTAATAACTTATGAACTTGTATATTTACATTTGTACATTTCATTAAACATAACTAACGTTTATTTATTTTTTTTTCGCTTATAATTTCGTAAATTTCCATCATTTTATAGAACGAAGAACCGAATAATAATAACTTAATAAGTAATCCTTGCAATCTTACAGTTCATCTGATTTTTTTATTTATCTTTAACGGACTGGAATTTACCACGCTGAATATTACATTATATACAATATAAACACGTAAATACGATAGTTATATTTATATCAAAATATATATTGTATCAGATTCAATCGGAATATTGCAAATTATGTATTTAATTTAGTTTTAATAACCGCTAAAAATATTATTTCCTACCTTTACTATGTACGGGCTGCGATCGGGATAAGTGAAAAGGTAAAATGGTTACTTTGGGTCGCAAATCGGACGACAACTTACAATAATACCTTAGAACTAAGAATAGGTATATCGAATAATACATGTTTCGTATAGTGACTTTCATTAATTAACCATCCTGGTTATTATTAATTAAGCTATATGTACACACAGATACTGTAGATGGATGGTGTTACACGGTTGTCAACTCATAAAATAAAATAAAAATTATGCATTTGAAACTTTTGAAAACAAAATAACAGTGTACTATTTCGACCGTATGAATGTGATTTACAATAATTTATCTTATAGTAGCTAAATTAAAAAAGTTTGCAATCGCAAGTCAAAAGTTTCAGGATAACATTTTTTCTCTATTGTACAAGATGTTGTTATTAAATTCTTTAATTGTTCGCAAAGTGTTTGCGAGATCAATATAGTAAAACAGAACAACGAATAATAGTGTCCTCTATCGAATTGTATTAAAACATTTTGTACAATGTTCAATTATTTGTTAATTTAAGCCTTGTAAGGTCTCCGGTGAAAACTCGTAAGTATTGTATTTCAAATCATTCTTTTACTATCAAGTATTTTCACGGAACATGAACAATTCAAAACAAACATTCTCATTAAATTACATTTTCAATTACATGTGTATGAAAGAAAAACATTGCATTAATTTTTGTTACATCATATTTTCAACAACGTAAAATGTGAGATTCGTATCTTTCGTTATCACATAAATATTATTCAATAGAATATTTGTTTTCATTTTCATTTAAATATTCAAAAGTGTGTTTACTTTTTAAGTTTACACATTCATTGACAGTGATGTGTATTTGACGACAGAATAATGTGTGAACAAATATGAGCCGTCATATAATCTAATAATATCTATAATAACAATAAATATTAATATGGTCAATATTTCAATAAAATTGTAAAAGCTAATAAGAATAAATTTTATTCACATAGGTTAAAAACATACGTAGTAGTGTTGGATAAGATTTAGACATTTTAGTCGATTAAGACCTTAAAATTTGATATTTCACTAAGATTTGTAATGATAATCAAAGGTAAATCTACAGTCTTAACCGACTAGACAAGTCTAATGCCCTAGTAAAAAATCTACACAATAATAGTTTACCATTAATAAAGTGTGAATGACAAAATAATGTTGCGTTACGCCAACAATTTTCTTTTTTTTTGATGCAGTTCACTAAGTCGGTTAATCACTGTTAGACATGAAGAACGAAATGAATTGGATTCAAAGGTTGTAATTTGTATTCCGGATTCTACTCTTATCTTCGAAAATTCAAACGACAATAAAATCGTTGTTGGATTTCACTACGGATCTGTTGGCCAGCGTTCATTCATCGTCTAAGGTCTGATTCGGCCTGAATAGAATCGTATAGAAACGAAAGAGATATTGACGTTGTGACGTCTGATGCTCTGATGACGATCGTAGTCTTTTTTTAGTACATAGGGTTTGGCGATTACATATTTTAGAAGTGAAATGCTTTGTGTTTTACCGTCAGGCCCGGCTCAAGGGGTAGGTGACATAGGCCCACCCCTAGGGCGGCATTTTCCTGGACAATTTTTATGTATAAAAAAAAAAATATTTAATAAAATATTTACACGTAAAGGACGGCAAAAACTAAATTTCGCCTATGTTTGTTTAATCACTTGAGCCGGGCCTGTGTACCGTACACTAAAGCCGGTACCGTATTTCAATCTTAACCAAGAAGCTGAAAGAGTGGTACTGATGCCATTAAGATGGGAATTAATGAGAAATTCTCGAAATTAATAGAATTGTTTATATTAATAATAGATTAAAAAGCGTTTGAAAATTTGAAGAAAGTCGCCATAACTATAATCGAAATATTTCCTATCTATAATAATTTTTTTATCATACACTTCTACTGTCGTATAGACATATTTATATAATAGATTATATGTAGCACATCACATATGAATAATAAAAAATAAATAATTTTTTAGGGAGGAAAAAACTTGTTCTCAGTTTATGTTATTGTAATGTATTATTCCAAGAAATTGAAGTATTTAGAGATGAAAGGAGAACAGTGTTTAAGTAAATTGGTTTTTTTAAATTCGTTTTGAGATATACATAATAAGTTTGAAAAAAAAGGCCCCTTATAATATAAATAAATCCGGAAAACAATGTACCAGCTTCAGTTATTTAAATATAAATAAAAATATAAAAACGTACCAACTTGGTGACGAAGAAAAAAGTGTTTAAAAAGTGTTTAAACAAATTAATATAACGTAGTTATCATGGTTTATAATAAGTAAATAATATAGGAAAATGTTTTTGAATCTGTATAAACAAAGTAAAACAAAATTAAATAACGTAAGTATAGATGTAACCAATGTTTTATAGTGTGAAAATATCAAAAATGTATCATATTTTCGAAGTTGATGTACCAGAAACAAAATATACTTAATACATTTAAAATACATAAAACGTTATGAAATTGTTGCATTTTAATGTTTTATTTTACTTTGACATTAAAGATTTTAAGGTACTGTTTTTATCATGAAGCGTGTTTTTTATATATTTTTTTGTCTCTCCACACGAATTCAACCAGAAAGCTTCGATCGTCAAAAGGAAGATTTTTGATAGGAAACGTTTTCGATTTGGTTTGTTCTAGTGAACATTTTTGGAATTCCTCAATAGTTTTCAAAATAATTGTGAAAAACTGATGAGCAAAAAAAAAAAAACGGCAAAACTTACGGGATAGCAGTTTTCAGTATAATCAAACTTAATTCGATACAACTCAAAAAGTAATAGCTGTATGGAATTAAAATTTTTAGTGAATACTAATATTGTAGGTACAATTATATATATATATAGAGAGAGATAATATATGTTGTATATTTAGTGGAAATATCATTCCGTGTTAAACGTTGTGTGACAAATTTAACTATAAGTGTAAGGTCATAGCAAAAAAAAAAAAAAAATAATAAATCATAATAATAATAAAAGTTTTTCATTTTGATGAATGTTTGGTTTTTTTCGTTAGTTAATTTTTCTTTCAACTTTCGTTAAACTTTTGCGTAAAGTTTCGAACGGAAATTAACTAACGAAGTGGATGCGACAACGGAAACAAAGTGTATGTTACGTAAACATCTTTCAAGCTTCAACTGTCCATGTTTTTAAGGAACGAAGTTTGTTTATGATATAAAACGTTTTAAGAATTGGATGGAAAATGTCAGTACTGTACATTATTTGTAAGATTTTATAATCATTAAGATTTACGCTCTAAACCTTAATTATCTACTTATGTAAAAGTACTTAAAACACGTTTCAGTTAAAACTCTGAACGCGTTTCAACTCTTTTAAGTTGCAGATTGAAGATACTTGTTTAAAGTTTGACTAGCATATCGTAACAATAGTTCAGATATTAGACATAAGATGCGTACAAATAAAACCACAATTAATTGTATTACAATGGATATAATATTATACTTTATGATAGGTACAGATAAATCTTAAATCAATGTAAACATTGTTTGTATTAGCTTAAAAATAAATTAATTTAAAAAATCATTGGTCATAAAAATGTAATCAAATCCAGTTCAGATATAGTGCATTTACCGTTGAAATGTACGCGAATTCGTGTTAAGTTCTATGTAATTACATTGCATTACGGTTTTTTACTTGTACACTTAAATAAGTTATACCTACTTATTTTAATGATCTACTTTAATGAATTTAATCCCTGTGTAATGTTATATAATAACATGTAGACTGCGATATTAACTAAGTAATCCGGGAAGCACATTATGAGGACCTATTTCGTCAGGGGTGAAAATAATTGTATGGTACATACTCATAAACTCAAGTAACGGAAACAGAATATATTGTTAAGGTTCACAGTAATGTTCGATAAACTGACATTCCATTCGAACATGGTTATTAAAATTTATTGTGTTGGAATATTATTATACGTTAAAATAATAATGCAACAATTAATTTTAAAAGAAATTAAAATGGTCACAACATTTATCGATTGCCAATTGAGTGTTATAGTTTCATTCGTTAAAAAAAAAAAAAAAAAATCAGTTCTTTTGTAATACTTGTACTATACGTTATATTAATTTCGACAATGTAGCTACACATAACTAAGTATAAGTAAAATATCGTCATACATCGTTTGGAAGTCTATTATGATGCTCTTCAACATAACAATTCATGTTTCATATATGCGTTATAATCGACGCCAGGCTTAAACAATATGTATTTTGTAGAATAATATCTTTCCTAAAATAGATTAGTAAAGTTGTTATGTTATTATTTAAGAAATGTTTAAAACCACTTCAGTACTTCGTTAGCCAGCCACCGTTGGAATGAAAATAATAATGATAATAATAATAATAATAATAATAATAATAATAATAATAATCAATTGGTCAAAGGGACCGTGATGAGAACTACGTGGACAATGGGGAGGATCTAGTCTCAGGCAAAGGAAGAAAAAAATAAAAATAAAAATTATAACACAAGACACTTACCGGTGCAGGAACTTCCTTTCACCTTTATGGACAATGGAGACGGTAACCTTCTCACCAAGTCCACACAATACGTGGACTCTACGATGCTGTCCGAGGACACTGACCTTGGGAACCATTCCAAAATGTCGTTCACGTTTATTTTTTCTTCGTTGTCTTCTTCTTCTTCTCCTTCTTCGTCTTCCCTGGGAACATTATTTCGATCATTGCTTTAAATAATAATTACGTTTTTCAACTGGTCCAGTGAACAAGTCATGCAACTGATCGGACCGTTCCTTCTCGCACTTAACCAAATATCAATTACAAAGTTTTTTACGTGTTATGTGTGCGTGTTTGTTTATTTAATGCGCATTACGTAAACGTAATCATAAATCGTGATAGGCACGACCAGTATTTTTCATTTATATGTAACAAACACTGCAGTGATTAATACAACTTATCTTTTAGCATAACATTTATTATTATGCATAGATGTTGATTTTTTTTCCTACACACATTTGGTTTTTTTGTGTTTCCCGCGACATAACTCTTTAATCAAGTCCGTAGTGTTTGCTATACGTTAAATGATAAACAAAAAAAAGTTTAAAACAAAATCGTTTTTCGTACTGTATAATTAATTGTACTCTCAGCAGCATTTATATTGATGAACTCAACATATTTTATTGTAAGTAATCAAAATGCTGGAATTGTTAACTTGATGCCATTATTTGTCGGCCACATACTTATATGTATATTATCATTATTATTATTATTTATTCAGTGAAACATGGTAATATGATTCTAAAAGTCGTTCTGTTATTCTTAAAAGTAATTGAACTTTCACTTCAGCGTTAACTGTGTAAGTTACAGAAAATCTACAATATTGGTTTCATATTCGTTTAATGACGTATTTAGGATTTTTCCCAGAGGAGAGGATATATTTACACTCTACTTACTAATTACTCCAATAATGTAACTACGTTATTTTAATTATAGCGTAGTTCAATCAATAAAGTAAGGATGAAATGTCATAATTTTATGGATTCCAAACATTCATCAATAATTATCGAAAAATACTTACAGAGAAAAAAGATACTAAAGGAATCTGTACCACCGTTCCGCATAAATACGCCATTAGATTCGTCACTAAGGAATTGCATACACATTCATCAACACCAATAATAGTAGATAGATATAATTCATAGAAACAGCATTTCGAATCAATGGGCTTCAGGTTATACGTTGGTTATACGTAATACATGAATAGAATATTACGTACGGGTAAGATTGCATTTGCGGAGTGCTTGTGTGAGTTATGCGCGCGCAGTGGTACGTACGTTTGACAGCAACGGCGAGCGGTACAACATTGAAACAACACAATAGCAATAAATTCATGTAAGAATCGGATAATGGATCGACAAACATGGCTGTCACCGTCACTGTTGGTGAGGCGTGAAAAAATGTGGGTATGGAAAAGTAAAGTTTACTCGGACAAAACTCTCTATCGGTAACGGATTTGTTTTAATGAATCGGTGGTATTTTCATTGAAAATACGTTTATGTTTAACGAACTGATTTTATATTACTATTCTACAATTATATAATATTAATTTTTATTTAGGAGCTTTTAAAAGTATGGCGAAAGTTTCGGAAACAGCGAGGAGCTACTTTGGTCACTATTCGTCATGAATTTTAATGCATCCATCCATATAATAACACTTTTCTGGAAGATATTTTACTATTTTAGATCACAGCAATTAGTATTTCGATCTATAAAAGAATTTTAGAGTGGAACAAGCACACAGACGTAGTATATTCAAGTTATATATATATATATTTATTCGTTTATTCTGTATTAATTTACATATAATTAAATCGGTTATAATTAAAATCAACATATTAGACAAAATAAGACATTTCCTATGTTACCAAAAACTGAAGAAAAAAAAATTATACATCCAGCTCAGAGCCTACAACAGTTTCGAAAAAAAAGGTACATACTAGTACATACATAGATAGTACCTAGTGTTATGAATATTCTACCAAAATTTCAAACGAATCACAATTGTTTTGATTTTATGATAATCAGTGGGTGAATGATTAGTTTGATAAATTTTAGTAAATTCCTGTGGTAAAGTCTATAATAGATATGAGCTAATTTATAGAACTTTAAAATCTGACGGGCCAGAGTGAGTAAAGCAGCAAAAAAATAAAAAGGAAATTAAAATTGATAGTTGGCATTTATTTTATATAATTGTTTAATTACGACTGAACCAACGCGCTAAAATAAGTACCTAATATCTATAGCTATGTTAACTATGTTGATATGGGTATATATTATATTTATAGGTACTAACTGAATTACACGGGTTCGCCCGAGAAAATAAATGCTTACATTAATATTAAATTGATTTGTTATAGGCAAATAAAAAATAATCATAATCTTCGTTTTCCTTCTCGTTTTAACCTAAGCTTAGAACTTAGAAGCAGTATTCTCCTTCTGACAAGTCAACTTTTTAACCGTTCAACTTTTAATTCAGCTGCCCAGTGGTGGTCTAATCGACAGTTTTAACTGTCAGTTTTAATGTGTGTTTTTCGTCGTGCTGTGTCTTGGGTTATTGAAAAATAATCAATTATAAATAAATAATTACTCAATAAACTTGTAGAAATTAAGCACATAATCTGGTCCGCGAGGTACTCATTCATCGAAAAAAAAAAATTGAGATGAAATTGTATATGAGTAGTTTCAAAGAACTTGCTTAATAAATATTCCATTTTCACATTTATATATATATATATATATATATATATATATATACATAGAAATATAAAATAATATCAATTATCATTTATAAACATACAGCATTATTATTTTACGTTATTATTCTATGGAGGGGCCATGCTAACATATTGTTCGCATACGTTTCGTACATCAAAAACGTGTTTTGAATAAAAAAAAAAAATTGTATTTCTATTTAATGATTTTTTTTTTCAAAAAACCGTTAAGTTTATCAAACAGAGGTTTGACTTTATAATACCGTCAGAGTGATTGTTACATAACATTAAATCGATTCTCTATGAAGCGTTTCTAGTGCCACGGTGACACGCGCGATTTATACGTGTACCAGTTCGAATATGGACATTCTGGTTTTAATTAAATCCGAGAGTAGGACGGTGCGCGCACGACTAAGCGTGGCGACCAAAGGAGTATCCCTTATCTTGGGCTCTGAACGTCGTACGTGAACATCAAAACGTATTATCGTATAGTGGTTTGACGTTAATCCTCGTGGCCGCGTTCGGCATAAACCGTAATGAATTTGAACCGGACCCATTACAATTGTGTATATACATTAAAAATACTAACAACAAAAAGTCATCATCGCAACGTGTGAGGACGTGCTCGGACAGTGCGTACGGAGTGATGACGACGGACGTATTAAGTTCGGTGGACCTGTCGTGACGGAAACGATAACGGTTATCGTGACGGGAGTCGAAAGTTGAATCGACGAGAGTCGTCCGGATGAGAGTGCAACTGCTCAGTGCACGCAGAGTGGACAACAGTGACGATATTTCGTGAGAGTGGTAATTTTTTTTTTTCTTTGTGGGTGGAGAGGGGCTGGGAAGAAAGGTCGAGAGAATACGACTTATGGTTGTGGTATAAAACGAATTTTACCAACGTGTACAAGGTCTGCGACGATGACGTCTTCAACGGAATCATCGAATCTCATCCTTTCGTTCTCGTCGATTTTATTGAAGCATACGGGTCTGTAATAAAATGTATAAATATGTATAAATCCTCTTAAATCCAGACTATTATCAACATTTGATACGCGATAATGCGTTTGTCATCGCAATTTACAATAATTTACAATTTTTTTTAGATCAAATGTGTGAACTATTGCTACTAACTAGTTTTTTTTCGATTTTTTTTCAGTAATTTTTCTGAAACAAAACTACAATTGGATTCAAATGAATCGAATTCTTAATTCGTTTTCCAATCATAAATATTTTTTAAATCATAGATTAATAATATTGTATTTTATGGTTTGAAAATAATCTTCTATAGTTGAATGATCTCTACGCGCAAAAAAATGTTGACCGATAATCACCGTGTGTTAAAATATGAGAATATAAGAAAATATGCAAACACAGCGTGTTTTTGTCACGCAAAACCCTGCGCGCACAGTCTTTGCACATTGTCCGAAAGCCGCACCCGTCGAAACGATTGTATCAGAGCTGCTAGGACAGTACACCACGAGGTGAATACAAAGCCAAAGGTCGGTGACAATAATATTATTGATGCCTTACAACGTGCTCTATTCTATCTACAACGATCAACTACGACGACAACAACAACAACAACAAAATAAATACAACAACGTCCCTTTGCTCATTAGGTTCGCGTATGCGGGAACATACACGCGTGTGACCGACGACCTTCGACAGTGGATGATCGATGCGTAGTCCTAAATAAGATTATAATAGTGAAGAGAAATTGTGAAACGAGAATAACAAATCCTACCGGGAGAATGACACAACCAGGATTTATTTTCATGGAGGGAGTCTATAATATAAACTTTGTATGGTACTAGATCAGCGATTCCTAACATTTTTCAGCCACGGAGCTTTTTTTTAAGCAGTATTTTCTCGTAGAGCTTCAATAAATATATACAGTAATCCCTTGTTATCCGCGTTATTTTTATCCGCGGTTGGGTCCACGATAACATATTATTAATGTGATTGCGATTGCGATAACGTTTTACCGTTATTACACGAACGTTGTAGACATTTATTTTTGACATGATGATAATTGTTGTTATATCGCTATAGGTATAACACATATACATTATACATACTTATACTTATTGGAGATAAACCACAAAAAGTTACTTACACACGCACGATTAATAATCGTCAATTGCTCATTTGTAAGGTGATATTTGTGCGTGACGCATGTACAGCAGTGTTTAATAAATTTAGTAGTGAAAATATTTTTAAATGACTTCTCAATGTGAAATGTCAATAAAAAGAAGAAAAAATGTTTTTTTATTAATCGTTCAAAAAATTGAAATTTTGGATAAATTAAAAAATGGTGATACTGAGCGTCACTTGCTAAAACGTACAAAATAAATGATTCTAGTGTTCGAGAAATACGTAAAAAATGAAGAAACAATACGATAGATAATAAATAAATTAGTTGTAGGAAT